CAGACCTCCCTGAGACGTTTGGACACCAAGTCGTTGCACCGACTAGCACGTCGTTTGGTAATGCTTGGACAGTATCTGGAGTCTCGTGAGTGGGTGTAGAAGCGCCTCTCATGTAACGAAATACCGTAAGAATTCTGCACATTCTGCACATCTAGAATTGGCATTTGCTTGGCTCCCATCTAAGGCGCAAATTGGCTCCCCAAATTGGTTCGCTTCAACTCTCAGGGTGGCCTTCTAGGATCGAAGAAGTGGTGGTGCTTTCCCACATATGCGACACCGAGCGAGACACCGGCGTGCCGCCGGCAACAGGCGGAAAGGTTTTCTCATCGAGAAAATCAACAAGTCGCTATGAACTGAGTCCCCGCTCTCAAAATGATCCCTGAAATTGTGGCGAACTTGTTGGTGGCGAAACATCAAGTTTCAAGAATTCGCGAAAACACATCATCTTCGTTTCAATACCTGGATCTTCGAAACGGCACAAATAATTGCCTTTTCAGGAAAAACTGCTGTTACGGCGTCTTTTTCCAAAGACGGCGTTTTTTGTTGTGACGAGGCGCACGCCGGCAGAAAGCAAAAAGAAACGGCGTCTTTAAGCGTCCAAACGGCGTCTTTGGGCGTCCAAAGGGCGTCTTTCCCCGTCCATGGATTTTGTACAACCCATAAAACGGCATTTTTTTTGATTACGGCGTCTTTTCACTAAAAAATGCCTCCGGCAAAAATTTATGCCGTTTGAAGATCCAGGTATGCCAAGTGGTGGCCTTGTTTGATCATTTGGAGGCTCGGGGCCTCACGAGTCATTGGCGACATCGCCCAAGAAACACATCAAATAAGGACGCGGGTTACGCGAAGGCAGGGCAACCACTAGAGGTCTAACAAATGTCTCAACATGATTCAACATGCCTCTATACATGTCTCAACCACAAACGCAGCAATGAACTGAAAACAGCATTGAATCAAAGTGACCATTCACAAGCCTAAGCGTAAAAAGCAAGCCATGCAAAGATTAGATCCTTCACCTGAAAAAGCAACCTCGATCAACCTCCTAAGGTCTAAACAATTCTAAACATCCTCCCTCTCATCCGCATCCATGTCCCTTATCCAATTTCATCAGTCACTCGATCGGGTGCCCCTCAACCCGAACACGACCTCAATCGCGGTCACCCAGCGACTCGTGCCATCAAACGGACGAAAGGTCACCCGAGCTCGTCAAAGGGCGCCCCCCAGAAGCGACACTTTGGAGTTCTTCGCTTCGTAGCTCCGATGGCAGTTGACGCACCGCACCCGCGGCGAATCCGCGCGGTCGCGCCGTGCGTCGCGTTCCGGTTCGGCTCGTTCCGGCGGTTCAACGGGTTGTTGGGCGCGGCACCAGGGACACGAGCGGAGCACCAGAGTGGAGAGGTCCGGGACATCCTCGGCAAAAGTTGCGAAATACATGTGAAATCCTTTGTGTTGGCCAATGGAATTGCCATGAATTACATGGTGCTACTGAGTTGCTTGCCACATCGCGAGCAAGGGTATATCAAATGAAGTTAAACTAATAAGTTACTGCAAAGAAAACGGAGCACTTTTAGTAAAGGAAAGATCTATGCTCATGGGATCGTATGGGCTATCTATGCAGCAATTTGGAGCCGTAGTTCAGGTGTCAGGAGCGTAGTTCCCCTCCTCTTCAATCAAAGTATCTGTGCTTTTTCATTCTTTTTCTGTGCTTTTGGCGATCCGTTTCGCAATTAGTTAGCATGTGTTCCCTACTTGGCTGAGCGTCTTCCAAGCGGGGCGCCATAATGCTGCTGGTGATCTGACAGCCTCTGGGGCCCGGCAGGATTTGGAGGGTGTGGGTTGATGATGGGTGATGGCAGTGGAGTGTCAAGATGTCTATTATTCATTACACGGCCCCACTTCCAAAAGAACAGCGTGTAGTGGTGTTCTGGACCATGTTTCAGGGGCTGTGTAATGCGGGGTGCTCTTTAAGCACGATAGGCTGCATTCCGGTTGGGCAAGGTGTTCCCACTACCAGCAGCCGTACCCTTGGCTTTACGTGTTCTTGAGGACGAGGCTATCAAGATCTATCAATGCCATTGGTCTCAGGTTTGAATTCGTTTAGCCGTCCACACTTCGGTTTGATGCTCGGAAATTCCTCATTTGAGGTCCACTCCTCAATTGATCTGTTTGCTTTGGGGACCGCAATGCCTGTGCCGTGATTCTCAACTGACTGGAATTTCCTTTGATGGCTTGAGTTTCTGTGGAGGCTAAGGCTACAGGTATAGCCGTCTGCAGGGGCGTAGATGGTCTTGATTTCTTCAAGTGCCACAAAGTAGGTGGTTCCAGTACTGAGCAACCGCATAGCCGTTGGGTGTCGTGAGGGGCCTCAGCGGCCCAGCACCCTCCGAAATAAAGTATTTCAGGGGTTACCCAATGTACTAGGATAGATTACGGGGGTCCAACGTTCAACATGCCCAATCTGACTAAGCTATTGGAAGCTCCAGCAGGAGCCATGCCCCACCGCAAGTTGAATGCGCCTGAAGGTCTTAAGCAACCTTTCAAAAAAATAAAAATTTGGGAAAACATGGTCAGAGACACGTTTCTGTGGTTGAAGGTTGGGGAACTGCACATGTTATTTTGTCACATGTTGTCTAATTATTGCATGTCACCAAAGCAGTACCCCTAGAGCCATGTAGCCCAGCCATATTGGGCTTAGAATGAAATTTCATGAAATTTGCACTGACCTAAAGGGGTATAAGAGGTATGGGTTGTATTGTTTAGTGGGTTTGCTTTGGGTTGATTATGTTTGTTCCAGTGACAGTGAACCCTCCTTTAAACAAAGGCCCCTCCAAACATCTCCACACCACAGAGAAACAAAATGCATGTTTCTGAACCGTCCCTGCCTCACACGAAACAAAATGAAGGGAGAAACAAAGAAAGAAGGAAACACCATGAAACACTGTATATATCAGTATATGTATATACATCATGGAGATTGAAGGCACATCGGCGAACATAATGAACATAAAGTCAATGAGTTTTAAAGTTCAAAACCATTGCATGAAAACTGCATGTATGTTAACAAATCTTCTCCCCAGCATATGGCCATTTTTTTTGAATTATAGTTTGGAACCGAGGTTTGCAACATGCCAGCACAAACCTCAACTTTAAAACTAAAAAAACACATAAAAGCACGTTCTTTGGAAGAACAAATGGTCCTAAGGCTCTGTACTCGATTTGACTTTGTCATGCCAACCAACTATAAATGGGTTCATCCCTGTGGCATGTCTAATTCTTCCAAGCTTTGGCCGAGCCTGTCTTCAACCGGTCCTTCAGCAGGTAGGTTGCTGGCGGAGAAGGGCCAGGATGCCTGAGAAAACAGGAAGCAAAAGGGATCAACAAAAAGGGCTCATATAGTTCCGACATACCGAAAACTGCATGGACATCCTGGATAACGTCAACCCCATCCATGCGGTGGTCAATCAACAAGACCCTTGTCTTTACATTGTAGGGCGTCCAAAAGCTCTTCGGGGGACATGCATTGGCATTGAATTGAAGAAACCCGAAGCGAAACAATTCCAGTTAAAATATCATCCAGTTGCTGGTTTACTCTTCCCGTCCCAGCCTGTGATTCATGTCTTTTGGCCTCTCGCCACCTTCTGGTCATCCAACAAGAATTGGCCGGCGAAGAATATGCAAGAAGGCAAGTTGAGAGCCAATGACACAATTATCGATCGATCCGAGATAGTGATCGTCAATCTCCGGATCTACAAACAGGTAACTATAACGTTTACTCCGCATTTCCACATGACGACGTCCATTGAGACAATCGAGGAACCGACCTGATCACAAAAACACATTGGGCAAACGTCCCCCCCAAAAAAAGGATAACAACACATGATACAAACAGTTGGCCTTCTTTTCCCCAGAACACCTCCACCATCCTGTCAATGGTCATACCATGTCATACCATAGTCTCGCCCACTGGTCCGGACCAGAAAACCAAGTGTCGGATGAGCCTCCCTGGAGCGAAGCAAGGTGGCCCACTTCACCTTCGGCGGTAAATCCGCCACGCGGGGAGGAGCGGAAGCCGCCACGCGCCCACTGTTGCCTCGGTTCGACGGTGGAGGAAGGTGTAAGAACGCGTGAGAAAGCGTGAAGCAAAATCATTAGCTGACTGACTGTTGGCAACTAGAACTATGAGTGCCACAACATCAAACTTCCAACCCCACGGCCAGACCCGAAAGTCATGGGGCAAAGAGGAATGTACAGCAAAGTACTCCCACTTTGGCATCACCCAGTCCAACTCTACAAAGGCACAGGTGTGTGTGTTGATGTTTGGACGGGGAGGGTCGATCGCGATCAGATCAGATGTGAAAGGATGTCGGAGAAGAACATGCATTGGGTCATAGCGACCTCAAGTGCATACCAAGGAGTGGGTGCAATCTCATCTATTGAAAGATTACTGCATTGTCTTTGAGATTGTACGCGTGTATGGGGAGGTCCGCAAGCAATCAACGTGTACTGTATACATCTTTACAATACATATATAATAACATGTATATATATATATATATATATGAATGTACGCAGCGCAGGCGCCGGGGGAGAGAATGGAGGTCTCCCTTTGAATGAAGCACGCACGCGGACGCAATTGGCAATCCGAAACATCCTGAGAGACCCCGGTCCCAGCAGCACTAGCACCAAATTTAACTGTGAAGCCATGGCTAGAAAATTCTGAGGAATCATGAGGAAAACGTATCACTGTATTTCATCAAATCACCAACAGTTGCAGAAAAGCAAGGGAACCACCCACAGGAGGCATTAACTTTTCTCAAGCAAATGCATGCAGGAAGGCCAGGCCAAGCCCCAAACAGGTTTAAGCTGCTTGCGGGAAGGAACATCCGGAGATTATATTCTGGATTACTCTGGGGAAGTCTAGTCTAATCTAGAGTACATAACTGGGTGATGTGTCGGGCATGGCACTGTCGCTCGTCGCGTGCAAGCGGGTGGAGGCCAGCGCTTCTGAGTCTGAGAAGGTTTGGGACTTCTCTTCTTGGACCACTTCCTCGGAAGCACATCTGGATTGATTCTTAGTCAAGCACAATGTGCTCTAAAATCCCGAAAGAAATGCCTCCTTTGAGGGGTGGATTTGAAGCTTTAGATCGTGGAGTCCATTGTCTTCCGGTCAGGCTCTGCATGAAAGGAAGGACGCTGCCGGCACTCATTGTGTGATAATCTTATTGCGACTCTGTGCATCACATGCCTCTCAAGAAAACAACTATATAGATCCTTTCAGCAAAGTTTGATTGATTTGAGGCTAGCTGCCTGAATGTAAGCCCCCCAAGTCTGCTGACCTCCAAAAAAGCCGTGCAGCAAGGTGGCCTACTAAGGTGGCGCTTTGAAAAGTGTTCCACCACATGCTCTTTGTAAGATGTTGCCCATTTCATGTATTCCTACTGGAACTTGACCATGAAGGTTTGCTCCTTACCACTTCTACAGCAAAAAGGAGCAGCATCAAAGTAGCAATAGTAGCACACGGACGCAGATTGACGCAAACAATTGAGTTACGTGAGTTATGGTCAACGGCGGATTCGGAAACTAGAGCCGCGGATTCAGAAACTAGGGTGGCCACGGATTAGGAAACTAGGCAGGGTGCGGATTCGGAAACTGGGTCTGAATCGGATAGTTTCTGAATCGAGTCTGTGAAATACGATGAAATACGAATATGTCCACGCTACACCAACACAAACATTTCAGTAGATCCCCACCCCACCCCCCCCGGGGCCCCCACCCCCCAGTTTCTGAATCGGATAGATTCTGAATCGGCCAGTTTTTCTGAATCGGCCAGTTTCTGAATCGGCTAGTTTCTGAATCGTAGTTTCTGATCGGAGCTAGTTTCTGAATCGCCTTCGGTTCCGTGAGTTATTCTGAATAGACATCAAATGAAATCAAATGACATCAGCACGTCGTTTATATTCACTCTTTCACAGGTCAAACAATGTGAGAGCGTCCCATCCGTCCTCCGCCCTCTCCAAGACTCTAAGGGGCCGCCCAAGCGCAGTGCCCGCCGGCGGCTCATGCCTGGAATGGTGAGCTGCTCCTGCCCGCGGCCACGCCAGGGCGAGGTCAAACAAATGGATCTCTCTGAGGCCCGGCCAATTGGCTCGAGACCTAGTCAACGCGAGTCCGAACACTGTCACAGGAAGAAAGAGGAGTCTCAGACGTCCCACGAGGAGTCTCCTTGCAGCCCTGATCGGCTGACTGAAGAGGCTCTTCCCAGGAAATCCCACAAGTTTGTTGGCTATTGTCAGCCAAGCAGCAAAGTGCAGCAGCGCATGTTGAATCACTAAGGGTATCTAAGGCAATCTAAGGGTCAATTATGGTCAATTCCCGGATTATTCTGAATTCTACCAGCTCGAATGTTCGACCTGTCAACGCTTCAGAGATGAATCCACAAGGAGTCCTTGAAACCCAAAGGAAGATCCATGAAGATCCGCCTTTCTTGGAGCCCAAGTCTTGGAACTGGGACCGGCATGGGCAACGGGGGCCTACTTGTCTGTGATATCAGTCTTGGATGACTTGCAGTAAACACCGCACAAGCAAAAATGAATCGTTTTTCCATTTCCATATGCATGTCGCTGTGGTTGTTCCTGCTCAATCTAGCAGGGCCAGCACGGCCGGCTCACAAACCACAAATGGTTTTAATTCAGGCCTACACCTGGAGAGATGCGCCTCACACATCCTCACACCAATTGGGCTCCTGCTCTGGCCGCAAGGCGGATCCATTCAACACCTGCTGTTGCAGAAGCTGCCCCAGGAGGTTCTGCTTCCGCGCGCGCTTCGGTGACCAGGGGTGCGGCGAGCTGGGTGAGCGCGGGGAGCTGCGGGGGCTTGGCCGTCGCGCTTCCTTGGAAGTTGGAAACACGAACCCCGCGGCAGTTGGGTGATCAAATGGTTTCAATCAGTGCCATTATTCAGTCTTTTAGTGATCAAAAGTCGTTTATTACTTTTTTATTCACCTTTTTTCAAGTGGGTTGAATTACACTTCAACTCATTTTTGTTCTGTCTTGGTATTCATCAAGCAGTGCCATTCATCGACTCAAGGACACAGCGGGTGCCTGATCGTCATGCGGTTCCCGAAACAGGCCGGTGTAAGTCCGCACCGAGCGGTTGGAGTCAACTCCGATGCGAACCACATGGTCATTGCCGAGCGGTTCCCGAAACAAATCCCCGAGCGGATCCAGTTACGGTACATGGACCCCTTGACTCCTTGGGCCCAGCGGCGTTCTCTGCTGCCGCCTCTGCTTGTGCTTCGGCCTCTCTTTTCACAGGCTGCCAAGGGCTCATAACTGTCAAGGAGAGACAACCCCTGACTAACGAGCCAGGATGGTCAAATATTGATCAATGATCCAACACACCATCCCATGTAGATTAAGCGGGCGACAAATGGCGGCAACCTCCAGCCTGTTCAAACACGTTGCACCAGAGTTACTAAGGAAGGTTAGATGACCTGCATTGTCCTCCAAGGAGCCCTTCTTGGCCTAAGAACAAATACGTTCACTTCTGGTGGACTCACCCTATTGTTGCATTGGCTAATTGGACATGATTGCAAATATTATATATATAAGCAAATAGTTATCCTGATTGTTATCCTTCCATTTGTGGTTCAAAGCCCCTCGAATAGACGAAGCAGAGAACACCGCATGATTAATCCAACCAGCTGGCAGCTACCAGAGCTAAACTAGCACAGCACTCTAGCTCCAAACACCGGGGGCCCGCGAACCGAATATCCACAACCTGATATGATTGTGCATCGGTGCGACACAATCACGAAGTGCAACAACAGAAAATTACACTTGATAGGTCGACATAGGCAAACCACGTCCACTTTCTTCGGTCTTAGACCTTCAAGTAATCATCTTTAATGATCTTGATGTATAATAAATTCAAACGTTTCCAACAAATCAGCCAAGCCTAGCCCAGTCACTTACCATCACCCAGTCGACTATATAGCACGGTGTTTTCGCACGCACCGAGGCGCTGCCCATTTCGCACGCGTGGCTTGGACCGTCTCATGGACGTGCTGCACGGAGTGTCCCAAGCGGTGCGCTGGAGCCTGCGAACCGGAAATCTCGGTGAGGATCACCTCCTGGGCAGCGTCGAACGGAGCAGTGTCTCGGCGCCCCAGCAGCTGGGGATGTGGCGCAGGTGGAACGGCCCCGGTGTCCAAGTAGTATCTTCGAAGCTGGAGGGAAAAAACACACCTTTATATAAGCAAGAATTGAGTGAAACACAAGTGTTTTTGACAAACCCCGGACTTTTTTCAATAAGCACAACCTCCGTGTTTTTGGGGGAGTGTCATCATGCGCTCCCGCAGCAACACCTCACGCAATATTAATATCATGAGAATATATATCATATACATGCACAAACATCCAGGCTCAGTGAACATTCCATGGCAACCTTCACCTTCCCATTTTCGATTATAAGGGCAGCCCTGATGGCACATGTAGAGCTTTCCTACCAGTTTTGTGAGTCGGCAAAGCTGGTAAAAAGGACTGGTGGTCCTTGGTGACTCTGATGCAAAAATGGCTGCAGCCAATAAATTGAATGAAATGATGGTATTGCAATCTTGGTTGTTCAACATCGCTTTGCAGGGTTCCCTCATGATGTCTATGCAAAAGTTCCTCTCACATAGATTTGTAGCCAGACCCTGCTGGATGTTGCTCACATATTGATTGAGGAATTTTGCCCCCTACCATCTTGGATAGGGTGTGCACATGTGCGTACTAGTTCAGGTTCAAGGACCACTAAAACCGGAAACAACACAGCAAGTTAGTACACCTAGGCTAGGTATACCTAGAGCTTCAACCCGTTGAGCGGGGCTCCCCAAGGTCCCCGCAATGACTGTGACGAGACATGTGTGAAGTGCAGTAAGGAACCAACACAAGAATGAACACATATACTTTAAAAAAGACGTTGCCTTGTTAATGAGGCTGTACACATTCTATATAACTGCTAGACATCGATTGTCTTAATCATCTTACTATGTCCAACTATTTTCTATTCCCTTGTCAGCCGGGGTCTACGTGGCAAGCAGGCCTTATGAAGCGAGCAGGCCGACTCTGGTGCAAGAAAGGTCAATCAGGTCGACTCATGAACCTGAACCATGCAATGCAATCCTCCCAAGAACCGAGAACCAGATCTTTCCAGATCTGGTGCTTTAGGGTTTAGGGTTACTGGTGCCCCACCAGGACGTCCTGTTTTCGGCGGACTCCGCCACCGGCGCATCCGGTTCGTGTCCACCGGTGGACCGGCCGATCCTCCGAAAGGGCCCCGCATGGAGCATTGGTGGCTCCAAGCTCTGCGCGAGACATGAACTTCCCTGAAAAGACTTGAGAAATGGAAGATGGAATGAGGAAACCTCGATACTAAAGTAACTAATAGTAACTAAGGGCATGACAATAGTAGCAATTTTCATCGATTTTCCCTTGTTACCGTTCACATCCATTGACGACACTTAGGCCATTGCCACACCTCACCTCCCGGTGCGACGAAAACATTGCAAAACATCGCTACGTGTGCCTCCTCCAGCTGCGGGTGGGATGCCAAGTAGCCCGCCAGATCTGGGGGATCCCACTCCTTAGGGGATGAAAAACGCACCAACTTCTGGGACCACTGAAGAGGAGAACACTTGAGTGAGTCTCCAGCTTCACACTACCAAGTGATAGACTATAGTATTCCATATATGTGGCATAGTGATGAAACAAATTGACATGTTGAATGACTCCAAATTGAAACCAGTCTTGGGATCTCCAATGGAAGGTCTCGTTCAGCGGGTTTGGAGCTCCGGACAGTCTTAGACTCTATCCAACAAGCATGGATGTGGACCCACAGAAACAAACTAAGCAAAAACTGCTGTCGCGTGTTTGCACATGTTTGTATGTTTGTTGCACATCAGGTATATTAACCCGCATTTTGCAATACACACGGTTTTTGGATCCATTTGAGCGTTGTTCAAAACCTATGTTTGGAGCGAAGGGTCGTAAGGAGGTGCTTACTCACATGCTTGAGCTTTTCTTACGCGACTCACATTTCAGCTTACGCGCCATGCAGGGGACATGAAGTGCTTATGCGGAGCTTACGCTAACAAATACGGACAAACTTTCTCCACCACACCAAAACATGAGCTTACGCACTTGACTTTTTGCATCTTTCTACTCGGAGAAGTGAAGCTTACGCACTTAGCTTACGCAAGTGCTACAGCCAGAAATTGCTTGCGCAACCTTACGCAAATCAGGTTTTGGCTTACGCACAGTGTCCTTATGACCATGTCCTCACTCAATATGAAGAACCAGGTTTTGAACGATGCTCATTTGGCTCCCGCCCTCTCCACACCAAGATGCCCAGCTCCGTCGCGTGCCACGACTCGGGCGGCTCTGTCCACTGCCGCTGGAGGACGAGCTGTTCCGGCGCAAAGGCACCAGGTGCTGGACGATCCAGGTGCGTTCCACAGGCGTCCCTGGCGGCTGCCCAGGCGGCGGCTCCATGGCGTGAGGATTTGGCCGACGAAAGTGGTTGAAAAGAAGTCTAAACGGTCTTTTTTCCCCAAGTAGTGCTCCGCACTAAGGGGTTCTTACGGTAAGAGTTAAGCGGGTTTAGATCAGGGTTCGCGCGTGTGGCCCCGGCATTTTGCGTGGGCCGGCTCGCACAAAAGTTACTTTTTGAATTCCTCATGTCCATTTCGACTGCGCAGGCTCGCATAAAGTGGGGGCCGCGCCTTTCGCGCTTCCGGGACAAAGCTCTCGTGCAGGTGCCGTGCTCGTTTTCGGACATGAAGTGCATTTTGCGTGGCAGGCGCAAGGAATTCGACACATTGGAGCCTCGAAAAGGTCACTTTACGTGGCAGGTGCAAGGAATCGGAGACTTTGCAAATCTCGTTGCAGGCGCAGTGTTTTGTGGACGTTGCAAAAACGTTGGCAGGCGTGTGTCATTCGCAGGATTGCGTTTCACGTGGCAGGCGCAGGGAATCCGCACCATGGATGCGATATTTTGAGGTGAAACGGCTGAATTCGTGAGAAGTGTCGCATTTTTGGAATTTGAACTTGAGGATGCTTTTGCGTGGCCAGCGCAGCATTTCGTATGACCTGCAGGCATGATTTCGTGGCAGGCACAGCATGTCTGAAACGCATTTCAAAATTTGCGAAAGCCTCGTGCAATTTGCTCATTTTGGATCTCCGATGTGCAGATTTCGTGGCAGGCGCAGCACTTTGTGAATCTCGATGCGCAGATTTCGTGGCAGGCACAGCACTTTGTGAATCTCGATGTGCAGATTTCGTGGCAGGCGCAGCA